GATGGGACTTACAGGTGACGGCTTCTCCAGCTGAGGTCGCTGCTGGAGAGACAGCAGCCTGGAGCGTCCCTCTTCCTCGTCATCTGTGTGGTCATTTACGTTGATCTCCTCCGAGTCGGACGAGCTGTTTGACGCGTACCCGTATGCAGCAGAGTGAGCCGTCGAGGCGGCCAGCATCATCCGGTGGTTAGGCAGAGATTTGAACGCGCTATTTTCGCCGCCCATCTGTAGCAGAAGCTGCGTCGTCTGACTCAGCCCCACTCCGGAGGCTGCTGAATGCAGATGATGATGGTGACGTACTAGAGTAGTATTGTTGCAAAGGGTGGAGGGTTGTGGAGAGCCAGGGATGGAAGCGGCCCCCGGAGAGCCAGGAGTGGTGGTTGTGCAGGTGATGTTGGAAGTGGTGCTGGTGGTGATACTGTGGTCTCCGTATGGTGCAGAGGGTCGAGGTGGGGTTGTTTGTTGTTGCGAGGGTTGCGGGGGAGGTGAAGAGCGTTTTAGGAGATTCATGCGCTGATGACGTCTCCATTTTGCACGTCTGTTGGAAAACCAAACCTGGGAGTCAATGGGAAAGTGTAACAACCCTGTTTTAGTTATTTGTTCACTTTTTCTAATATAACAAGACATTAAGTGACATATTGGAGTCGGTGTTATTGCTCCCTGTTGTCGTTATTTTGAAACGAATTGCATCTCCACTTTGGAGCTGAAGTAACGAATTAAAAGTACGTCAGTGTTTTTATTTTTTTCGCCAGACTGTACTGAAGAATAAAACATTTGTAAATTTTGTATATTTTTATTGAGACATAATAATATATATCTGTGTATGTATTATAGGGACAGAATATAAGTATTTAAGTGATTATCATTTGATTTGAAATAGAGAACTATAACACCGATCCTGTTTGGACATTCTACTCACAAGTACCCAAAGTTCTAAAGGAAAGAAAAGACGGGACCGAAAATGCCATGCTACTTTCGTTTTACGTTTCGCATGTAAAATTCGCGTTTTACAATTAGAACTTTATCTTTAATCATTTTCGATGCTTTTCTAAAAAGCTTTTAAGAAGACGTTTACAGAAGGAAATTAAGTCTGCTTTTTTAAGCTAAATGTAAGCGTACGGCTTCCTAAAATACGTGTATTTTGTTTACAAAAAAGGGATAACTGTCCATGCTACACCAGTTATTTGTCTTTTTAATATAAATCGATTTGTATGTTTCGGAAGAACTGATGATATTATTAGTGTTTTGTTTCTTTTTTTTTATAATGCAACATTTTCAGAACTCTCTAATAAATGATAAAACTTCGGTGAAAACACATTATTTTCTAGCTTTGCGCA